AACACCGCTCCCACCCATACCACTGCCCACACACCCTCCCACACACACCCACACGCTTCTGGTGGGAGCCCTGCTCACTGTTATGCACACACACCACACACACACATCCATAGCCCTCCATGCACAACCCACACCCATACCCACCCACACACACACCCACACATCCCCACAAACAAACCCCCATACACACCTACACACACCCATACACTTACACCTTCCCCATACCCCACATATACACACATCCATACACAGCCTCCACAAACCCCATTCCCCTCCACAGATCCCACACCCCTTGCAATATCCAAGAGTAAGATTACATTGAGAGTTATTATGCATTCCCCTTTATATACAGAACACAAACACACACAGGACAAAAATATTTTTAAAAATTAAATTAAAATATGTTATTGTGGATGTTTTATTTTTAGTATATAATTTGGGGTTTTTTTCCAATTCCAAGATGGCAAAGCCCCTTCCCAAATGGAATACTTCTGGGGAGAGAGGAGGGATGTCTGGGGCAAAGGTCAGGGGTTAGGGCACGGGACTTCTGGTTCCAAAATGGTGACCGGGGGTGGGGCATGTGTCAAGGGGAGGGACAACTCTTGCAGCCCTCAACAGCTCACTATAATTTGTTAAGCAGACCTCCAACCAAAATAATTACCTGCCCCTGCCCAAGGTAGATAACCTGGTGTCTTCTTTCAAGAAATCCTTCAAGCACTGTCCAGGTCATAAGGTCTGGCACAGGGAATCTGTCACCAGTCAAATTGGGGACTCACATGGCATTATGCTGCTGCCACCAGAGACTGTGCTCACATGGTGGAATTTGCTGTTCAGTGTGGTCCATTACCATGTCAAGCATATGCTGCATGACCAGCAGTTTGTGAGCAAGGAGCAGAAAATCACACCCAGCACAATGAGCATGCTGCTTCCATGAACTTTGTTAAGGCTCGCCAAGTGACTGTGCCTATGTTCTGGGACTCTGTCTGTGACTATTTTCCACATCTGTATGCCCTGGCAAGATGCTGCCTCACTGTTCCAATGAACTCAGTGGACACTAAGAGTACCATCTCAGTGTATGGACAAGGGTTCACTTCACAGACACAGAGAATGTCCCCAACGACTGAAGTTTGGTGTAGCATGTGCACATTTAATACATATCATGAGCTGCCTGTCTCAAGGTTAGCATTCATTTTCAGTAAAGCCCTTTTTATAATGTTCTTTATTAAAATGCATATAATTGGTTCTGCAAACCATAATGTGCATAGCTTTATTTTCATAAAATATTTCAGTTTAGAATTTAATTAAGTGCATAGAAGGTACTAGTTAATAAAGTGTATGGAGTTGGTATTACTTGCAATTCATAGTATGCATTGCTTTACTTTATTAAGATATTTCATTTTAGACCTTAATTAAGTGCTTAGAGTTCTTAATAATGTGTCAATTAATGGCTACCATGGGCTTAATCTGCTGATTAAGTATATGGAAGCCATTAATTGACATGTTATTAAGAATGCTAAGCAGCTGTTAATGGCTTTGCGAGCTTGATCAAGCCCATGGAAGCCATTAACAGCCATCTAGATTGCTTAATAACACATCAATAAATGGCTTCCATGGGCTTAATCAGGGGATTAAGCCCATGGAAGCCATTAATTGACATGTTAACAAGCAGCACTTTGGAGTCAACTGGCAATCTGCAGGGAGGGGTGGGATTTCTGTGTCCCCTTGGTCAAGCTGAGGTATGGGAGGGGGGAGCCTTGCTAAGTTTTGCTTGTAAAAACTAACTGCCCAGCCCCTGGTCTCTGCCCAAAATCTGCCAGCAGCCTCTTCAATTTCAGTAGGTCCCTACCAATCATAGCAGAAGCAGTTAAAAGACAGCCTAATTTACATTGGCTGTACATAAGGAATAAAAAGGGTTTATCCCAATAAATGTGTTCTAATTTGTAACATATAGACATGAAAAGAATATTTTAAACAAAACAGAAAACATTTTTTTAGTCAATGAAAGAAGTAATACCGATGTGTTTATACTAGTGCTGGTTAAATATCATAAAAAGGTCTATGGATAGTCATTCAAATAGGTAAATGAATTTGCTTCCACTTGATTCATATCACTTTATTTATTTTTCATGAATATTCTAACAATACAGGTTAGTAAATCACCTGTTCAGATATTATTGAATCCCTCTCATTACATAGGATAAAATCTAACAGATGGGGATGCTTTTTTAGATGCATAGAAACATAACATAAAAAACATAACATTACATTAATGTGCAGTAAAATAGTCTACTGTACATTAAGGGTCACTAAAAAGAGTGTGCAAATGTGCTACTGTGCATTAGCACAGCCTAATGCACAATATGTAATACATCACATTGGAGATATTAAGTCTAATACTCATTAGGAAAGGCACATTAATGTATGTGTAACTGCCCCCCCATGTGTATCTATACATGATGTTATGTGACTGTAGCTCTCTGTCATGACATGCTCCCCTGTTTTAGCATGCAACTATAGTGATGTAGTGCCTAAAATTAACTGTGTGCAGCACACACAGCACAGTATGAGTTGTTACTATGCCATCTTTTAGTACTTTCAAGGGAAGTACTAAAAGATGGCACAGTAACAATTAGCAGCACATGTAGATGTGCCCACTGTGTCTCAGTTCTTGCTCACAGGCCTGTCTGTAGTCTTTACAGGTTTATTCTTTTTATAAGATTAGAGACCTTATGGAGTTAAAGACTGTCCTTAATTTAGGAAAATAAATTCATTATGCATTCTCTCTTCAATTCAAAGATATACCACAGCAAAAACAAAGCATCTAGCACGCAGAAACCAGAAACACAATGCATACTTTTTTAAGGTAATACCCCGAGCACATCTATACATACAAATGCTGCTTGAAGGAGAATTAGGGAAAGTGTGGGTCCCTTACTGAATAGGGGAGGCAACCCTGTGACAGAGGATGCAGAAAAGACTGAAGTGCTCAATGCCTATTTCACCTCAGTCTTCACAGGCAAGGTTAGCTTTCAGGCAGCACAGTTTGGGGAGGAGTTGAGTACCCAACTGTGGCAAAAAAGGAGGTTAAGGACTATTTAGAAAAGCTGGACATATACAAGTTCATGGGACTGGATGAGATGCACCCAAACATTCTGAGTGAGTTGGCTGATGTGATTGCAGTGCCACTGGTCATCATCTTTGAAAACTCAAGGCAATTAGTAGAGGTCCTGGATGATTGAAAAAAGGCAAACAGAGTGTCCATATTTAGTAAAGGGAAAAAGGAGGATCCAGGGAAATACAGACCAGTCAGCCTCACCTCAGTCCCCAGAAAAATCATGGATCAGATTCTCAAGGAATCCATTTCTAAGCACTTGAAGTAAAAAAAGGTGATTAGGAACAGGAGACATGGATTTGCCAAAGGCAAGTCATGCCTGACCAACCTGATTGCCTTCTATGATATGATGACTGGCTCTATGGATGTGGAGAGTACAGTGGATTTGGTGTACCTTGATTTTAGCAAGGCTTTTGATATGGTCTTCCACAACATTCTCTCAGGCAAGCTAAGGAAGTGTGGGTTGGATGAATGGACTCTAAGATGGTTAGAAAACTGGCTGGAGAATCAAGCTCAGAGGGTAATAATCAATGACTTGATGTCTAGTTGGCAGCCAGTATCAAGTGAAGTGACCCAGGGATCAATCCTAGGGCTAGTTTTGGTCAATGTCTTCATCAATGACTTGAAGATGGCATAGAGTGCACCCTCAGCAAGTTTGCAAATAATACCAAGCTGGGGGTGGTTGTAGATACATTGAAGAGTAGGGTTAGGATTCAAAGTGACCTAGACAAATTGAAGAATTGGGCCAAAAGAAATCTCATGAGGTTCAACAAGGACAAGTGCAAAGTCCTGCACTTAGGATGGAACAATCTCATGCACTAGCACAGGCTGGGAGCTGGCTGGCTGTGCATCAGCTCTGCAGAAAAAGACCTGGGGGTTACAGTGGACGATAAGTGGTAGGGCAGCTAGCAGTGAGTCCCTGGCTGGGCAGAGAGGCTTGCTGCTAGCTGCCTCACTTGTGGATCAGGGCAGAGGGCTGGGATCAACACCCCCCCCCCCCAAAGCTCTTTCCAAGCCCCATGCCTCAATTGCCTGATTGGGGCATGGGGCTGGGAAAAAGCTGTGGAGCTGAGACCAGCCCCTGACCAGGACAGTTCCCAGCCAGTCCCATGCTGCATGGAGAAGCCTGCATGTGCAGTCTGAATTTGGCTGGAGACTGCCTGAAACAGAGCAGTTCCCAGCTAGCTCCAGGTCGCACATGAAGACTTCTTCACACAGCCTGGGGCTAGCTGGGAGGGGAAGTCTCCCCATTCATGGATCTCCCTGCTCAAGTTCTGCTATCATAGAGCAGGAGCTGGGAGATTGCTCCCTGACCCACTCCCCAATCATGATCACAGAGCTGAAGCTGGGAGCAGTCTCCCAGCCCACACTCCATGATTGCAATCATGGAGCAGGGGCTGGGCGTTCCCTCCTGCCAAAGCAGGGGCACATTGTCTTTGCCCAGACTCCAGTGGTGCATCCATGGCAACAGGCAATTCCCAGGGGCATGGAGCAAACTCCCACCCCCTGCTGCCCAGCTGACTGGGAGCAAATTTCCTTCCAGTCAGCTATCTTCACTGTGCAGTCATTGCTCAGCAGTTAATATGCTACTTGCATTTGCAGGTAGCAAATTAAGTGCCAAGTAGAATACATTACTGTGCAGTAAGGGTCTACATATGTAGATCGTGATGCTTACTATGCAGTATTTTGCTCCGCTGCATAGTAAAGCATCTCATGTAGGCATGTCCTCTGTCTACCTTTGCTCCACATAATGAGGAACATAATCTTGTTCCTCAAAACTCCATTTTTTAACAGGCTAGAGTTCCAGGATTCCCGTTAAGAAAAGTAGAAAAGTCCCATTCTCTTTTCCCCCATTACTCCCAGTCATGGTCTAGCTATGACACAGCTATCTGTGTTCATGATATCAGTTCCTAATCTTTTCAGTATCTTGAATTTTTTTTAGGTTATGTAAAGAGAATGTACTTTACAGTGCCTTTCCTTTTAAGAGCCACTACAGGCTTCTATAAAATCAGAGAACCATAGGATCATTTACAATTAGAGTTGGAAGGGACCTCAGGAAGTCATCTGGTCAAACCCCCTACTCAAAGCATGACCATCCCAAAGTAAATCATTCCAGCCAGGGCTTTGATATGCTGGGTCTTAAAACCTACAAGGATGGAGATTCCACCACCTCTCTAGATAACCTGTTTCTAAGAGAATCATAACTAGGGGTCTACCTAAATTGCACCAGAAGTACACTGTGCAGTGGATCCTTTAATCTTGCTTTTTTTGCCATGCTCCTCTCCCCCCCCACCTCCCACCACTAATTTGCTGAAGGGCTCTGGTGGCCCCACCACTTGCTGCTTGCTCCTGATTGGCTGGGAGGCAAAAACTGTGGTTTTAAAGATGCCAGTTTTTATCCTCCAGCAGCAAGTGTTAGGGCTTCCATCAGGTCCCCTCCACCAATCCACAGTGGAGGAGTGTGCAGTGAAAAGAGCAAGATTAAAACTGCTGCTGCACAGTGCATTTCCAGTGTCATTAAGTAGATTCCTAATCATAACTATTAGGGATGTGCAAAGCAGGCAGTATTCGATTAGGATTCAGATTTGGCCCAGTTCAGGGGACAGTGATTCAATTCACCCATTTGGATCATTGTTCTGATTCAATTCAGCCTAATCTGAATCTGAAGCTTCG